CAGCTGACTCCTCCTTACCCTAAACCTTTTGGATAAAATAAAATACTCCAGTTTCTTGGCAAGGAATTGAGCAATTTTTTCAGAAAAAGAATCATCAAATGAAAGAGAGCAGAAGGGGTAGAAAAGATTTTTCAAGGTTTGAAGAATGGCTTAAGCTTGAGTTATGCTTTGCCAGCTATGTTTTCAAATTCTGCTTCTGTGACTGGCCTTTTCCCTGGAAAACAGACAGATAAAGGTAAGCATATGAGAGGAAGTCTTCCTTCTGGGGCTCAAATAGAGGGAAAGTTCTATGGTACCCACATCTGCTAGGAATTTTGGATTTCCCATTAGTCATTTATTGCAGTGGGGATGGGACTGTGGCTGAAGTCCGCCATCTGACTTCTCATCCTGTCAGAGGTACGAGATGGATGGAATTCTAGATCTCATTTTCAAACGGCTTAATTCCTTGAGGTCTTCCTCAAGACCCACAGAGAACAGCGGCTGCCTGGCAGCCGCTGACCCTGGCGCATGGAGCTTCTTCAAAGGGAAAGAGGTGCCGGTCACACAGGAGGCCTGATCCCAGCTGCTGAGGTCCTCAGAACAAGCAGCTGACTCCTCCTTACCCTAAACCTTTTGGATAAAATAAAATACTCCAGTTTCTTGGCAAGGAATTGAGCAATTTTTTCAGAAAAAGAATCATCAAATGAAAGAGAGCAGAAGGGGTAGAAAAGATTTTTCAAGGTTTGAAGAATGGCTTAAGCTTGAGTTATGCTTTGCCAGCTATGTTTTCAAATTCTGCTTCTGTGACTGGCCTTTTCCCTGGAAAGCAGACAGATAAAGGTAAGCATATGAGAGGAAGTCTTCCTTCTGGGGCTCAAATAGAGGGAAAGTTCTATGGTACCCACATCTGCTAGGAATTTTGGATTTCCCATTAGTCATTATTTACTCAGGTAGGTATTTTAGCTTCACTGATGACCAGGAAGTTGAAAGTTTATTGAGGACTAGACTCTGTATCCTCTCCTGGGGACTCTGAAGTCATTAAAGTGGGTTCTCCAAGCATTTACGATACTGTGCAACCTGGTAACTCTTTGCAATACCCTTGGCTCCGTAATGCCCTGGGGCTTGTTCTCATCTCACACTCTTCTTTGAAAATGATGGTCATGTCCTTTTAAGTAGACAGTAGGGATGAGTCACCCTGAATGACAAGAAAAATAAAGAGACCCCTGCTTTTTGGATGGATCCTAGTGTAAATGACTTTATAAAGATAAAACCCATCTACTCTTTTTTGGTGGGGGGTTAAATTTGTGGTAACAGGGATATACTTAAAAAGACGAATTTCTAAGAACCATGCTGACTAGCTAGGTGAATTTGGATGTGTTCTAGTTTCTGTTTCCAGATGGGATGCAAGTATGTTCATCTGACCTATCAAGGTTTCCTTGGTAGTTAAGAGAAACGAAAACCAAGATTGGCGCTTGTACAACACTGGAGGTGAGAGTTTTTCAAAAATTTTGCACCCAGACATTTTCTCCTGTCCAGTCCTATTGAAAATATCCAGCATGCCATTCGGTGCAGAATAATCAAAACCAGACTCCTGACTTCTGTCCCGGAGCCCAGCTGCTCTTCCTGCCATAACCGCTGCCGTGCATTGAGAAGCCCTTTAGGCAGCAGTGATTGCCTGCAGTCTCCAGCCAGGGCCCTACTGGTACCACCACGAAGAAGTGCAAGAAGCCACGCGCCTCATGGAGCGAGTTTTGACCCTTAGGAAGCACATGAGATAGACACGGGAATTTCAAAGGCCTTTCAGAAAAGCTACCAGAGACCAAGCCATGATGGCACTTGTTACAAAGCTGAGGCCAGTTCAGCAATGCCTCCCCGCAGGCTTGCCCTTCCTCCTTCACTTTCTCAGCTCATTTGTCCTCACTGTCGTTTCCCTTCAAATGCACCCCTTAACAAAGAGTTCTTAAGTGCCTTAGCAACCCCCAATATTCAGGGGACCCAGGCTAAAACAAATGGTAAAGATTATATACAGTGTTCATCACCAACCCCGTTCCAGTCTATTCTAGTGCTGGGACGGAATCCATATTCCATGAAACAAGCATAGTTCCTGTTCATGGAGTTTCTTCTTCTAAGTATATAACTACAAACTGAGATGAGTACTCTGAAGAGGAAGCCAGCTCTGGAGATTGCACAATATAAGAGCTTGGTGTAGAATAAGGTCAGGGAAGGTGGCTCTGAGAGCTATTGGTGAGCAAGAGTTAAGCAGGTGCAGTTTGATAGGGAGGGAAGGAGGGGAAGGAGTGTGCGTGTGTGTGCACGTGTGTGTGTGCGGAATGGAAGAGTGATGTGGTTGGCATGTTTACAAAGGCTCTGTGGATGAGCGCTCAGTGACTGTCACCCATAAAGCCATTTTAAAAGGATAAATGGCTAGACCCCCACACTGACTTACTAAATCAGAGTCTTGACTAGGGCAGGGGGAGAGTCTGCCTCCTGAACCTCGGCCGGTTTGGAAAGCGCTGAATGAGACATGTAGGGCCTGCCCTGAATAAGGTGAAGTTTTGTTCTCAGTGCCGTCTTCCTGCTACAGGAGGCCGCCACCTTTCTTGTGCTTACCCTCTATTCCCCTTCCCTTCCACAGCCCCTGTCCACCCTGCATGCATGTGCACACGTGCGCGTGCATACACACCCTCTGCTCATTTCTTTGCTTGTCGAGTTCGCCCCCCAGCCATGCTTCCTTCTGACCCACTCTCCACAGCCGTGTCCCATGAGGAGGGCCTTTCTTGATCTCTTTCCCAGCAAAACTGACCTGACCCATTTGTAATCCTGCAAGTTTCTGCTAGTTGCTAATTAAGAAAGTTCTCTATAGCTATATACTGATTGCTGAACACCCTTCTGAAGAATGGTAGTAACTTGCATGTTAGAATATGGTCCTGTCTGGTGCCATAGTTTAGAAAGATATTTTCAACATTATGTTTCATTTAGTATCTCCAGCAGAACTAACCATGCAATATTACAAACACCGAAGAGCTCACACATCATCCCTGACCAATGTTAGGCAGCAAACGTGCCACTCTCTCCCCAGGGAATATGTTTCTATCTCACATACAGGTCTTTAATCTCCTTATTAAAGCAAAGGAGTGATTGATATTGGGTTCGTCTTAAGCCAAGCCTCAGTGGAGTGGAGGCAGGGAGACAGGGGTAACTTCAGAGGAGAAAGCTTTCAGCACTGCCACATGTGGGAGGCAATGTAGTATGGTGGTTAGCAGCAGCATGTCTGGGCTTTTGGTTGAGATGGCTTGAGTTCAAGGCCCGGTGCTGCAAGGTATTGGCTGTGTGGGCTTGGCTCAGCTACTTAAATCTCCCAGACTCCAGGTTCCTCCATGGAAACTTGAGTTATGAGTTACATCTCATAAAGTAGGTGTGAAGATTAAATGAGCTAATGCATTGAAAGCACTTGACGGAGGGCCTACCACATAATAAGCCCACCCCATTATGACTACTGCTGCTGCTGCTGCTAAGTCGCTTCGGTCGTGTCCGACTCTGTGTGACCCCATAGACAGCAGCCCACCAGGCTGCCCCGTCCCTGGGATTCTCCAGGTAAGAACACTGGAGTGGGTTGCCATTTCCTTCTCCAATGCATGAAAGTGAAAAGTGAAAGTGAAGTCGCTCAGTCGTGTCTGACTCTTTGTGACCCCATGGACTGCAGCCCACCAGGCTCCTCTGTCCGTGGGATTTTCCAGGCAAGAGTACTGGAGTGTTATTATTAGGCTTTCCTGTTGACGCAGATGGTAAAGAATCCACCGGCAGTGCAGGAGATCCAGGTTCCATCCCTGGGTCAGGAAGATTCCCTGGACAGGGGAATGGCAACCCACTCCAGTGTTCTTGCCTGGGAATCCCCATGGACAGAGGAGACTGATGGGCTACAGTCAGCAGGATTACAAAGAGTCAGACACTGCAAAGCAAGTAAAACGTTCACTTTTATTATTATTAGTATACCACTTGGGCAACAAGCCTTAGAGACGGCCACTGGAAAATGCAGGTGAAATGTTTCTGTCGGTGGGAGTGGGAGATGAGGAGGCAGAAACAGGAGCAAAGGGACACATGCCGAAGAGCTCTGGGCTCGCCCACGTGGCCGTCTTCGGAGTCCACAGGCCCAGCCAGGCCATTTTCCAGCCCCGCCAGAAGGAGTGAAAATTGAACTGTGGTCTGGAGAGCTATCCGTTCTGACCATTAGTCAAACACCAGGAGCCAGTTAGACCTAATTGTCTTTGAAACATCCAAAGACCAGACACATTTTTGGAGGTCAGGCTGAGCTGCTGAAAAGGAGACAGAAATACCTGGGATGAAAATAAAGGCATAATGGGTTCCTACAGTTGGTCTGAAAATTAGCTTTCGGGGTCTCCTTACGGTGGTTTCTTAATGATGTGAAACGTGATAAAGGCTTTGGCCACAATAAAGATGAATTACTTCTTTTTACTAGAAAAATAATGAAATTTTGGTAAACATCCCAGGTTTATCACTTAACTTTTCCCCCAGCTCATGGTAGGGGGAGGGAAGTGAGAGGGAGAGACAAGAAGGGAGAAGAGAGGCACACCCCCGGCCCAGCCCCCGTTTTTAATATTCTAAGCTATTAGATTTCAATAGCCCACTCTCTAGCAACGTGTGTCTCATTTCCCTGGATAGACCAAATAGGCAATAACAGCCTCTCGGTTAGAACACTAATGTTGTAATTTAGAACTTCTGTCAAGATGAAAGATCTTTGCTGGGATTCTCAGAGGACCCACAGCAACACTTCAACCCAGGCCCAGATAATGAAGTTTTCATTATTAAATAAAGATATTTTAGGAATGTCATAAACCATAAATCCACTCTCCTCTACTGCCCAGCCACCTTGTTGTGTTTATTTCTAACAAGAGCCCATCATCTTTCCAAGGGCCCTAATGCCTCCAAACTCGGCATCTCTTGCCTCTCAACCCCCTAGTCCCACTGTGATGCTCTGATGTTGCCATGGTGACAGGAGATCGTCCTCTCCCACTGTAGACCCATCGTGGTGGGGACGGAGGAGGTGAGTCCCTGTTCCTTCTCCTTGTTTGCCCCTTCCTCCCCACCTGGTCCTGCCAGCCAGCTCGAGAGACTGACTCCAGGCAGCTTTATCTCACCTCAAGGAAATGCTAACATGCGCCATCGGTCTGGCTGTCCTTAAAAATGCTGGAGCAATCAATTTTTAATGTGAATTTAGTGCTGGATGGAAGCACTAGATTGCCAGTCCCAGGGAGATGACTCCTCTGTTTATCCATTCGCCCAACATTGGGGTGCATTTCCTCCAACCCACCTGCCTTAACCTGGCTCTCGTACCCATCTCAAGAAGGCCACCTTACTGGGGTCTCATGCCCACATCAGGAACCTGCCACCCCTGCTGTCATCTTCACAGAAGAGAGGCCTCCATTCCCCAAACCCAGGCCGCCCTGAGGAGGCTCAGAAGGCAAAGGGATCTTGGACACGTCACATTCAGTGTATTCCACAAGTAAACAGAATCCAATTTCTGAAATTGGGAACTCATGTAGTCATCCCCGGCCGCTGTTGAACCACACCTGATGAGCCAGCTGTCTTAAAAATTGGGGAGAAATTTTCTAGTCTGTCACAGTAAAGAAGCTCTCCTTTGCACATAACCAAATGTCTCTTAGCTGTAACTTAAGCCCATACTCAAAGTACACAAATATCTTCTTATTATAATACACCAGATTTTGTCCATAGAAGGGGAGTATTGATACCCAGACAGGGTTTTCATTTCTATCCATATTTTTGTTTATACCTACAATCCAAACGAAGCAATACGTACTATCAGATTAATCAAAGAAGAATTTGTAGATATATTTAAAGACAAAGATCATGACCCCATGGCTCCCAAACATATCTCTGGAGCTTCTTCCATCATGGTGTGATTTGAACTTGGACAGAGTTGGCTCTAAGATATGCAAAAACAAGCAAACAAAAATCATGTTTTCATCTCCATCACTGAATGGGCTTTAGGAACAAAAATCACTCCTTCTTGAAAACATCTGAGAATCCAATTAATGGATTCTGTATTTTCTTTTAAGGTCCACGTAGGAGTATACATCAGTTTGAGATATTTCCTGGGGAAGAGGGCACACCAGACCACTGCACCCCATCGGCACTTGAATTAATTGAAAATAAATTTCCCCTCCCTACACTAAACAAATGAGGAGCTTTTTGTGTGATAACACTTACACCCATCTGTAATAGGTTGCTAAGATTCCACTAATTAAAAAAAAAATCTCATTTGAAGATAGTTAATGGTGTCTGCATTTCTACAAAGCACTAGTCAGACTACATTTCCTTGAACTTCAGGGTCTGTGCTGATTACTACTCAATTAGTTTTGATTCAATTCACTGAAGAAAAATGTCCATTTCATTAGTGTGGAGAAATAACCATGGGACGCAAAATATATTTCCCCGCATTGCTATGGCAACCAGGATGACACAGCTGAGCTCCGAATGTTAATGCCTTCTCTGAGACTGTGTTTTTAAGTCAGCATGCGGCCATTAAGACTTGCTGGGTGGGGGTGGCAGCCTGGTGCCACATGGCTCCTAGAATTGGCAGCGGAAGTGTCCAAGGGACTCCCAAGAAGGCTGCTTTCTGCCACTCATCTCCCCGGCCACTCCCCTGAGGGCAGGGCATTTGGGCAGCAGCATCCATCGATTGCTGCGTTGCATGTCTCCAGGCCCTTTTGATGTGACATGCAAGCATCCAGCTAGGAAGTGAAAAATGCAGCCCATCATCCAGACGCGTTTCTCTATGTGTTGACTGTTTTGTGAATGCCTGTGACTACTGAGGTGAGGGACTGGCGTCTGAGCTCTTCATTAACACATTCCAGCCTGCCCAGGTTGGCCCACGCCAAGAGTAAGGAAGGTGAGGAGCTGGGAGGTTATCCACACGCAATTCAATAAATCTGGCTGCCGACCAAGGGGAGCTAGATTCCTACCCATGCTCCCCAGGCCTGATGTAAGCAAAGAACAGAAAAAAAGATTCTAGATTACCAAACCAAAAGAAATGGATCTGTTTCCATGGGATAGGAGGCAAAAACCCCAATACCTGTTTTCAAGAATGATAGATGTGACCATTCAGTTCAGTTCAGTTCAGTTCAGTCGCTCAGTCGGGTTCGACTCTTTGTGACTCCATGAACTGCAGTACGCCAGGCTTCCCTATCCATCACCAACTCCCAGAGCTTGCTCAAACTCAGGTTCATTGAGTCGATGATGCCATCCAACCATCTCATCCCCTCTCGTCCCCGTCTCCTCCCTCCTTCAATCGATGTGACTATTAGGAAGCATGAATTGGGGCAAATGGACTTCCCTTGTGGCTCAGTGGTAAAGAATCTGCCTGCAATGCCGGAGGCCTGGGTTCAGTCCCTGGGTTGGGAAGATCCCCTGGAGGAGGGCACGGCAACTCACTCCAGTATCCTTGCCTGGAGAATCCCCATGGACAGAGGAGCCTGGCAGGCTACAGTCTATGGGGTTGCAAACAGTCAGGCACAACTGATTGGCTAAGTACAGTACAGGGCAGATAACCAAAATTACAAGAACACAAAAATTTTATTTGGGAGACTGAATTTTCCAAGTTAAATGGATAATTCCTTACATTTTCCCTTAGGCTATGTCAACATAATCTTAGACTATCAGTTAATAATGAATGTCTGTCTCCTATGTTCAAGGTTCCTTTTCTTAGGATACCAAGATTAAAGGCAAGTGACCAGACTCTCAAGGAACAGTTTAGTTGGTGGGCAGTACACAAACTACTAATGAAAGCTATTATTTCCTCAGCGCCTGGCAGTGTACTAAGTGCTTTATAGGCTTTATTTTATTCAATCCTTTCAAAGGTGCTTTGAGGAGGGTGTTAGCCCCATTTTAGAACCAAGGGCTGCTGCTGCTAAGTCACTTAAGTCGTGTCCGACTCTGCGCTACCCCATACATAGCAGCCCACCAGGCTCCCCCGTCCCTGGGGTTCTCCAGGCAAGAACACTGGAGTGGGTTGCCATTTCCTCCTCCGATGCATGAAAGTGAAGTGAAAGTTAAGTCTCTCAGTTGTGAACCAAGTGAACTAAGGTTCAAAAAAGTACCTGACTGGTCAATTACTAGTTGATTACAGTTAGTGATTAAAGGGACTGGATTCAAACACAAGTCCGTCCGGCTCCACAGTTTCAACCGCCGAGCACGCTGCCCCTGGTGTATGCATGAATCACCAAGCGGGAAGCATTACTGCCCAGCGAGGGTTACAACAGTCAATGCCTGATTTGTACAGAAAGCAGCAAAGTCCTGTGCATTTAATGAATTTGGCTTCCCTTTTAAAATTCAGCTTCAGGTGAATGGGCAAAATCAGAGCATCCCATCTCCTCCATTAACCAAATGTCCTAAACCCATTTCTGCAGACCTCAGGTGTGGCAGGAAGGCTACTGTGAGAGCTGCCAAAAGACCAGGACCAGGGACTCATCGTAACAACACGAGAGCAAGTGCACGATTATCTCATCGCCAGAGTCCCAGTCTCCCCGCCTCCACACTGGCCCCTTGGGACCCTGTGTATCTGTGCTTCTTTATTTCGAATCATCATCATGTCACCATCCAAAGTATTTATTAAGTTTCTGCACCCATAGAGTTCTGGTCACCCCATTTATTCTTTCCCCATTGGCACATTTGTCATTTTTACCCTATCATCTGTTTGCAGTCGCTTGACATGATTTTATTTCATCTTTGTACATCTTCAGATGTGGCATTCAAGACACTCAGAACTCAGAGTGGGTCCCCAACCTTCTCTTTGCTTGCTCGTAGCAGTACCTTTGGGTCTCCGTGACAGCAGATCTCAGCTCAGGAACTGACAGAATGGTTGCCTCTTCCAAGTACAGTCCAGAGCAGAATGCAATGGCGTATGTAGTGGTTTCTAATGTAAAATCGTACTACAAATAAAGCACACAGTCTATAGATGGGCTTCCTTGCTAGAGCAGCCTTCGTCAAAACACATTCAAGGAACTCTGGTTCCCTTGGGATGTTAAAGTCTGTTACTAGAAAAAGGGAGAGAGGCAGGTTCTATGGTCAGTTGTGTTTTGGAGATGCTGGGTTAAAAAAAGTTAGTCAGGTTTCTTCATTGCAAGGATTCAGGGTTCTTAATATGCTAATGTACTGTAGAACCCTTCCTCCGAAAGGAGAGAGTAGGAGGAAGCATTATCTACAGAACCATTTTAATCCCAGAGTTTGGAGGGACCAGTGTTGTGACCACTCTGGAAAACCCCCAGGAGGGGTTAATCTAGGAACCTAACCTGCATACCTACCTGGGGAAGTCTGGAGAATGGCACAGTCTACTGGGACTTTTTGCTTGAAGACACCTAAGCTTCATGGGAGAAATGTTCAAGACTTTGGGGCTGACATTTGAAGCCAGAAAAAGGAAACTAAGGATACCAAAAAAAGTAGTGGAAAATATCTGCTTTCAAATTCCAGAAGAAGGGGCCCAGATGGGCTGGAACCTAGTCATCCTGAAGTAGGAGAGAGCTAAGTGGCTCCGACCTAGCTAGTACAGTGCTTTTTCTAGAAAGTTTCTAGAGAAGGTTTCTCAAGAAACCTCTGTATAGAAAGGTTTCTAGAGAGACCTCTGTATAGAAATCGTATAGATATTTTGGAATACAAATGATAGAAGATTTTAATTAAACAGTTTTGAACAATATTCACATTAATCATCTCACAGAATAAGAAGCCCTTTAGAATCTTTGTGATTCTCTTAGCTCACACATTTATTGTTTCCTGGGATCCCACATTACCTGCATTGATTTTTCTTTCTATTGGAGTAAATCGCTTAAGAAAGATATGTGAGAGGTAGATTTTCTAAGTTTTGAATGTCCCGATATACCATGTTTTACCCTCACAATTGATTAATAGCTGGCTGTGTCTAAATTGGAAGTCTAGATTGAAAAATGATTTTCCTTAAAATATTGAAGTTGCTTCTTCCTTGCCTGTTGGTATACCGTGATGCTGTATAACCCAAAGCCAGTCTAATTCTTTTCCCTTATGTATAATCTATTTATTTTCTGCATTGGTTTATCTTTTCAAAAAAATTTAGATGTAATTGACATATAACATATTAGTTTCAGATGTACAACATCATTATTCAATATTTGTGTATATGGTAAGATGATCGCCTCAGTGAGATTAGTTAACATCCATCACCACACTTGTTACTTGTTACTTGTGATGAGAACTTTTAAGATCTACTTTCTCAGCATCTTTCAAATATTTGAAATTTCAAGTATTAACCATAGTCACCGTGCTGATGTGGTACATTGCATTCCCCAGGACTTATTCTGTAACGACAGATTTGTATCTTTTGACCCCCTTCACTCATTTGCCCACACTTTACTCCCCACCTCTGGCAACAACCAGTCTGTTCTCTGTATATATGCATTTGGTTTTTTGTTTTCAATATGAGTGAGACCATATGGTATTTCTATTTCTCTGTCTGACTTACTTCACTTGGCATAATGCCCTCAAGTTCCATCCACGTTATCCCTGTTGTCACAAATAGTAGGTTTTCTATCTTTTCATGGCTGAAAAATATCCATTATATACACACATATAACATTCCCATATGTATTCCGGTATAACTGTGGTCAGTTGCTTCAGCCCGACTCTTTGCAACCCCATGACTGTAGCCCACCCGGCTCCTCTGTCCATGGGGTTCTCCAGGCAAGAATCCCAGCGTGGGCTGCCGTGCCCTCCTCATTCCAGTATTGCTGTTCAGTCGCTCAGTCATGTCTGACTCTTTGCAACCCCATGCACTATAGCACTCCAGGCTTCCCTGTCCTTCACCATCTCCCTGAGATTGCTCACACTCATGTCCATTGAGTCCATGATGCCATTCCAGTTATACATTCTAGTATAACTACATGTATATAATATTCCATGTACATATAACATTTTCTTTATCCATTCACCTATTTATAGTCCCTTAGGTTGCTTCCATGTCCTGGCTATTGTAAATAATGCTGTGATGAACATAGGGGTGCCTATATTTCTTTGAAAGTTATTTCCTTCAGATAAATACTCAGAAGCGGAATTGATGGATCAGATGGAAATTCTATTTTTAACTGTTTGAGGAATCTCCATAGTGTTTTCCACAGTGGCTGCACCAATTTACGTTCCTACCAGTAGTGTACCAGTGTTATTCTTGCCAACAGTTGTTATTTTTTGTCCTTTTGATAATAGCCATTCCAATAGATGTGAGGGAATCTTTAAGCTTAATCTTCTGAAATTTTGCAAGGATGTGTCTAAATGTGGGATTCTTCAGGCCTCACTGATCCCTTTTGCTCTGAAAATAAATTCAATCTCTAGCTCTGTAAACTTTGTTTTCTAGTGCACCTTTGATAATTTTTTCTTCTTAGTTTTCTACATTATCTCTTCCTGAAATTCTTTTTAATACTTAGAACTTCTGTATCGATTCCTTATGTCACCTCTATTTCTTACATTTTGCTTTTTCCCTCCCTAATTGTTCTAAATTCTAGGAGATGTCTTCAACTTAGATATTTTTTCTTTTACTCAATCTTGTCAGTTGCATTCCTTAGGGCAGCACTGTCTCCTGCCCTAATAAATAAATCCCAACGTCTTTGTAAAGCAAGGAAAATACAGTCACTGATGCTGTATTAACCTTGTGTGGTGACGGATGATAATTGGATCTATGTTGGTGATCATTTCATAAGGCATGTAAATGTCAAATCGCTATGTAGTGCTCCTGAAACTAATATAACATTGTACATCAATTGTACTTCCATTAAAATAAGTAAACACCCACCAAACTTCAGGGGCTTACCACAATGAACCTTTTCTTCCTTCATGTCCCTTTTTAAACACGGGCACTGCCTGTTCTTCAGGCAGTTCCTCCGCACAGGAGGATTCGGGGCTCTTGATTCCTTCCTTAGTCAGGCTCACACATTACTCAAGGCAGCACAGTCCTCTATATACAGCAAAGAAGGGGCAAAAGCAAGGGCGGCTGATTCTCAGCCGGCTTGACGTGCAAATATCACACTGCACTTCTTATATTCCATCGGTGAAATAGTCACCTGGTCTCACCTAGGTGTAATTGGAAGGGTACTATAAAATGTGGTTCCTAGTTCAACAGCTGCTTCCCTCAATAAGTGCCTATTTTGGAAGGAGCACAAGTTTTGTGCTTAGCTGATGACCATTAAGAATCTTTTTTGCAACAATCATATTTTTTTTTATTTCCATGAGATCAGTCGTATCTCCTAATTGTTCCATTCACAGGGCACATACAGCTTTGCCTTCTGTTCACTTTCCCCTGTGGGATCAGCTGTTCTTTATTATTTTGGCCATTCTCATTCATTCTCTCATTTCCTTCCTGCTCTGGCAATCACTGTTATGTTTTTACATTAAAGAATTGAGTAGAAGGCTGATTATTCTAAATGGATGCATTTCACTTACTGCAAGTTTGCAGGCATTGTTCTTTCAGCATGCCTCTTTCTTGAGAGGCTGACCTTTGCTCGTGGGTCAGCTTTTCCACCAGCGGCTTCACTTTGGGCTCTGTGGAATCAGACGGGAAGAGTCACACAGACATAGAGGACAGATTCGTAGTTGCCCAGGGGGCAGGTGGGAGAGGGGTGGATGGGAGTTTGGAGTTGTCAGATGCAAACTACTAAATAGAGGATGGATAAACAGCAAAGTCCTCCTGTATGGCACAGGGAACGATATACAGTATCCTGGGATAAACCATACTGGAAAAGACAGTCTACTCTGGGCCACCATGCTCAATTAATTGTCTTGGCTGCCCCAGAAAGTTCACCTTTAGAGAAGAAAATCTAGATGTTTCCCTAGAAAATAATATCAGTTTGCCTGCCACTCTGTGAATAGGATAGAGGATCACAAGGACCTGCTGTCAAGCACGGGGAACTCTGTTCAGTACTCTGTAATAACCAGTGTGGGGAAAGAATCTGAAAAAGAATAGATACATGTGTGAAAGTGAAAGTCACTCAGTTGTGTCCGACTCTTTGCGACCCCAAGGACTACAGAGTCCATGGTATTCTCTAGGCCAGAATACTGGAGTGGGGAGCCTTTCCCTTCTCCAGGGGATCTTCCCAACCCAGGGATCAAAGCCAAGTCCCCCACATTGCAGGCTGATTCTTTACCAGCTCAGCCACAAGGGAAGCTCAAGAATACCTGAGGGGGTGGCCTATTGCTTCTCCAGGGGATCTTCCTGACCCAGGAATTGAACCGGGGTCTCCTGCATTGCAGGCGATTCTTTACTAACTGAGCTATCAGGGAAGCCTAGATATATGTATGTGAAGCAAAAGTCGTTCAGTCGTGTCTGACTCTTCGTGACTCCATGGACTGTAGCCCTCTGTCCATGGAATTCTCCAGGCAAGAAGACTGGAGTGGGTTACCATTCCCTTCTCCAAGATACATGTATATGTATAACTAAATCACTTTGCTATCCACCTGAAACTAACACAACATTGTAACTCAACTCTACTTCAAGGTAAGATAAATGTTTATTTGAAAGTACAAAGAAATTTTAAGTAACAAATAAAGAAATTTGTAAAAGCTCTTGGTTGTATTTAGCCAAGACAAATATAGGAAGATATGAAATTATAAAATCTTCAAGAAGAAAAAAATAAAAGAAAGGAAAGGATGAGGGAGGCTGGCATAGCATCCCGCAAGTAAATCTTGAGTTAACCTTTGTTTCAGCAATTACTCCCCCCACTGCCCTCCTTGCTTACCAACACGGAGCTATAAACATGTCCAGGTTCTGGCCAGCAGGCCAGGCTGCCCTGCACTGCAGCCTGCTCCAACAAATGATCAAGTCTGAACAACTTCCCCCACTGGTTCATTGGCTAACACGCTTCCACCCATCCCATGTGCTGGGCTAAAGTCTCTCAGCTGCTGAAGCTAGCAGCTATCGCCACCTTACTTTTGCTAATAGATGTTCAGTGTTTTTTTACTTCCAAGCTAGAATTTTGATGAGATCTTATGAGGGGAAAAGTCTCAGTTTGCCATCTTAAGCAAGATGAGAAAAAAACTCGTAAATGTCCCTTGGACCAAGTTTATGGGAAAGGAGGGCTATAAAAAAAAATTAAAAGCAGTGGCTGACAGGACTTTAAAAGAACTTTGGTCAGCTTTTGGCAAAAATTGCCTCTCAATTTACATGGCCTGGTCAATATGTTTATGTATTCTTTCATTTTTTTCACACATTAGAGTTTATTCTCTACCACAGGCTGTGCCAGGCACCAGGGCAAGACCATAAACAACGTGGCCTTCCTGTAAGTCTCTTTAAAAACCTTAGAATTTGTGGGAGGAACTAGGATTTGAAACTTAAAATTTGGATTTACTTTTCACTATTAGAAGAAGTCCAGGGCATTTTGGAAGCTCTTAAGCAAGGCACTGCTGAGAGATGAGGCTGAACTGACCAGGTCAGTGCATGAGGTAGGTGGTAGAATGTTCCAGATGAGAGCAACCGCGTGTCAGAAATGCAGAAGAGGCTCGCACCTGTGTGCATGACTAGCTTCAGGCATGACTATTGTCTGTGCTTGGCATGTCCTCCCACCACTCCCAGTTCAGAAGTATGGCAAAACCTCCAATTCAAGCATTCCTCCACTCTTGGAAGGGCTCATGGAAAGTTCCCCACAGGCCCAGGCATTTTCCTCCATTGTTCATTATAGCTCGTATGTTCCACCCTTATAACAATGGACACACTCTAGAAAATGTTTCGTTCTCTCCCTGTGTCTGCCAGTCTGACCAGTCTAACCAGTCTAAACTCCTTGAAGCCAGGAGTTGTGTCTTATTCACTTTACCTGCCTGTGTGACCCACAAGTGCTAGATCCTCAACTAAGACATGTTGAATGCTGAATGCTGCTGAATGCTGAATGAAGTGGCAGTATTGTCACCATATACTCCTTGCCCTCAGTTGTACACAACTTGGATGTGACTTTGTTTCAGAGGTTGAATGTTGAATGAAGAATTTACATATTCACTTCTATAGACTGAGGGGGTGGCCTATTGCTTCTCCAGGGGATCTTCCTGACCCAGGAATTGAACCGGGGTCTCCTGCATTGCAGGCGATTCTTTACTAACTGAGCTATCAGGGAAGCCTAGATATATGTATGTGAAGCAAAAGTCGTTCAGTCGTGTCTGACTCTTCGTGACTCCATGGACTGTAGCCCTCTGTCCATGGAATTCTCCAGGCAAGAAGACTGGAGTGGGTTACCATTCCCTTCTCCAAGATACATGTATATGTATAACTAAATCACTTTGCTATCCACCTGAAACTAACACAACATTGTAACTCAACTCTACTTCAAGGTAAGATAAATGTTTATTTGAAAGTACAAAGAAATTTTAAGTAACAAATAAAGAAATTTGTAAAAGCTCTTGGTTGTATTTAGCCAAGACAAATATAGGAAGATATGAAATTATAAAATCTTCAAGAAGAAAAAAATAAAAGAAAGGAAAGGATGAGGGAGGCTGGCATAGCATCCCGCAAGTAAATCTTGAGTTAACCTTTGTTTCAGCAATTACTCCTCCCACTGCCCTCCTTGCTTACCAACACGGAGCTATAAACATGTCCAGGTTCTGGCCAGCAGGCCAGGCTGCCCTGCACTGCAGCCTGCTCCAACAAATGATCAAGTCTGAACAACTTCCCCCACTGGTTCATTGGCTAACACGCTTCCACCCATCCCATGTGCTGGGCTAAAGTCTCTCAGCTGCTGAAGCTAGCAGCTATCGCCACCTTACTTTTGCTAATAGATGTTCAGTGTTTTTTTACTTCCAAGCTAGAATTTTGATGAGATCTTATGAGGGGAAAAGTCTCAGTTTGCCATCTTAAGCAAGATGAGAAAAAAACTCGTAAATGTCCCTTGGACCAAGTTTATGGGAAAGGAGGGCTATAAAAAAAAATTAAAAGCAGTGGCTGACAGGACTTTAAAAGAACTTTGGTCAGCTTTTGGCAAAAATTGCCTCTCAATTTACATGGCCTGGTCAATATGTTTATGTATTCTTTCATTTTTTTCACACATTAGAGTTTATTCTCTACCACAGGCTGTGCCAGGCACCAGGGCAAGACCATAAACAACGTGGCCTTCCTGTAAGTCTCTTTAAAAACCTTAGAATTTGTGGGAGGAACTAGGATTTGAAACTTAAAATTTGGATTTACTTTTCACTATTAGAAGAAGTCCAGGGCATTTTGGAAGCTCTTAAGCAAGGCACTGCTGAGAGATGAGGCTGAACTGACCAGGTCAGTGCATGAGGTAGGTGGTAGAATGTTCCAGATGAGAGCAACCGCGTGTCAGAAATGCAGAAGAGGCTCGCACCTGTGTGCATGACTAGCTTCAGGCATGACTATTATCTGTGCTTGGCATGTCCTCCCACCACTCCCAGTTCAGAAGTATGGCAAAACCTCCAATTCAAGCATTCCTCCACTCTTGGAAGGGCTCATGGAAAGTTCCCCACAGGCCCAGGCATTTTCCTCCATTGTTCATTATAGCTCGTATGTTCCACCCTTATAACAATGGACACACTCTAGAAAATGTTTCGTTCTCTCCCTGTGTCTGCCAGTCTGACCAGTCTAACCAGTCTAAACTCCTTGAAGCCAGGAGTTGTGTCTTATTCACTTTACCTGCCTGTGTGACCCACAAGTGCTAGATCCTCAATTAAGACATGTTGAATGCTGAATGCTGCTGAATGCTGAATGAAGTGGCAGTATTGTCACCATATACTCCTTGCCCTCAGTTGTACACAACTTGGATGTGACTTTGTTTCAGAGGTTGAATGTTGAATGAAGAATTTACATATTCACTTCTATAGGAACTTGGTCGAGGCACTTATGAAAGACAGGGCTGTGGACAACTTTCCCTAAATGGCTGCTACCTACAGGAACACAAGTATAAGAAATTCTGAGATGATGAATTAGCAGGAATCAGGCACGTGTTTACTAGGGTAACTATGATAGTGTCAGCTTTACCTCACCTGTTTACCTTACCCCTCCGGGTTAACTGGACATCTGAGAAAGAATAAACTCTCTCCAGATGTGTATAAGTCCTGTGCCAATGATGTAAATTTCCTTTAGATGGGACCAAGGAGGCCGGAGAATGAGAACTGAGATTGCTTCAATCAATGAGGACAAAATTACAGGTTCTTCTCCCTCTATGTCAGTGAGTTCATAAAATATCATTTTGTTCATAAAAATTGCTTTTGCTACAATGAGTATACGTGATGTTATGACGATCCATGTCAGATGGAGGCTTGGGATAAGTGAAGCGAGATGTGAGATCCACTGCAGGGGAATAATGGGAAAGAGCCCTCGCACACATCATTCAGGCACTGAAGAGAGATTGCATATTTACGGGAAAGTGTGAGAACATCGCCTCCTGGGTATTAAAGAGAGCACGAGTACAGCCAAGGCAGTAAACAACCAGGCGCAAAGGTAACACAGAACTAAAGGGCGACCAAGCGAATAGGGCTGTAACTTGAAATGACTTCGTAGACACCGGGAGACCCTGCTCTCCGGGAGCAATGCTGCTTCGTAATTACTGCTCCCTTGTTTGGTATTCAGACCTGTATCTTAAACACACACACACAAAACTGAGGGCCACCAGAAATTCAACTATACTTAGTTTAATATTTGCACTTTTTTGCTAATTTTTAATTTGGGTAGATTATGTATGCATGCATGCTATGTCGCTTCAGTCACGTCCGACTCTGTGAGACCCCACAGATGGCAACGCATCAGGCTCCTCTGTCCACAGGATTCTCTAGGCAAGAATACTGGAGTGGGTTGCCATTTCCTTCTCCATGGGTAGATTATATGCATCTGTAAAATTTTGAACCCTTCATTTAATCACCAACACTGAATAATCATTAAAATTCCACAGTTGAAAATAATCCCTATTATTAAGGTGACTTTGCACCCTAGTTTGCTTGGGACACTCCCAAATTTTATCTAATATCCCAGATCCTACACAGTTTAACATGTATCCTAGATTTCTCTCTTTTTTTTTAAAACAGAACAGTAAGATGAACTAAGACAAGTTTGGCAATTTCCACTTTGTACCTCTAGCTTCTGCCAGGGTCTTATCAAATATGGAGTTGATTCATAGTAATTAGTATAGTAGGTATGCAGTTCTGTATGTAGTGAATATATAGCATGTAGGGCTTTGATCGACATATGGTTAAATCTGAAAGATGACAAGTGATAACCAAACCGATTTTTCCTTTCAAAACATATGCACTCACACCTTTCTTTCCAGAGCAGCGTGTACTCCCTGATAAAACAAAGTAGGTTCAGATTAAGTGGCTAGGGACAGCTAACCCTCTGGTCTGGCTACGCTGGGAAAGTGTTCGGTGTTGCTGCCCCTGCTGGCCGGAGTGCATACCTGCAGCCGCTGTGCTGAGATCAGGACCATGGCCAGTGCCACAGCCTAGAAAATGCAGGATGCTACCAGGCTACCAGTCAGGAGGAATCATCAGGGATGAGAGGTTTGGAACACATGAAATATGTGCAGGGAATACAGACTTGACTGTCCTACCAGAGGTCACAGAAAGAATAGCCTGAATATATTTGTCAGGGGTACTCATTATTTATTGTATGGTATAAACCTACAATTATATGTTTACTTTATTGTTTTGTAAGGTTTGGTTTTATTTTGTCTCTCCCAAGGCAATGATCTCAAACAAGTAAATGTCTAATGAAATATTTAATGCTGAATTTCCATTTCTTAAGAAACTTGGTGATGAAAATGTCAGTTGCACAAAATTTTGGTTTACGTTTATCATCTACCTGACATCGCCAGAAGACACAAATACTCTGAAGCTGCATGAGCATCTATTTCAAAAGTTAGTAATTATTTTTAAAAGACTGTTTCCAAAAGGGTCAGTATAACAAGTACATCTGCAGAAGTTCATTTACAACACTGGAAAGTATGACTTATCATTGGGTTCAAATGAGTATTTTTCTAAATTAATTTCACTCTCGATTCCAAGTTTCTCCTGTATATGTGTAAAACTGAAATTATAGCCATTAAAAGTATTGGCTTCATTAGCTAGAGAACTTCACTAATAGTTAGATGATATCAGTTTTACATTAGTGTCATGAGATTCTTCAAATAGAAATTCAGTTAAATCCAGTAATGTCTTTTAAATTCAACACATGGAATCAAGCTAAAACATTTAGAAGTTCATTCTGTCTTGATAAAATATTTTAACATTCTCATAAATGCTATTAAGATCTGGATAAAAACCTCAACCTTGACGATAAAGTTACTTGTATTTGCAGTGATAGTATGATACAACTTTTGGTAGAGCCCAATATTGCGGTAAAAACCATGTTCCAAGTAAGTCAAGAAACTTGTGTTGCAGGTTTGGAATTGGAGTTCTGGTTGGAATAGGTTGTAGTGCACATATTATTCATGAATGTGTCCAAACAAGCTTTGATAATCTACTTGTCAAAATAGAGGCTGCATTTAAAGTCAGCCAAATTATAAACTTTTGTGACAAAATTCATGCTGCATTTATTTTAGAACGTTTCAGTTGTGGCAGTGCGTGCTTTTTCTCTTCACTGTCTGTCACCACCAGATTTTAGAAATGTTTTAATTTTAAAGAACTACTTTGTAGATCCATCTAAGTATCTGACAATGATACTGAATCTTATTGTAAAGCAGTCTTCTTAAATTTAGGTTGCATTTTGTTTGAAAGAAGTTGTAAATCTTTAATCAGATATTCAGCTGACGGAACACCAAACAACTTCAGCTTTTGAAATGTGTAGCAAATTATAATTATTGAAAGAAAATCTTGAAGCCAGAAAGATGATGAATTGTAACTTCATAAAAACAAAGGAAGGAATGGATAAGCTAAATGATAAGAGACGAAAAGCATAAAATATTAAACTCTGAAGTTCTGTAATTGTACTTCAGAATATCTTCACCTCTGGGGAAAATCTTCTAATGGAGATCCCTTGGATTCTTTTTTAATGAAATATTCTGTACTGAATGGGACTATATTGAGATAGCCTTCAAACGCTGCAGATAATTTCTTGATAAGTTACACTTTGTAAACCTACCTTTTGAAGCAATGGAGGAAAAGGACAGAGCATGCAAAAATATTTGGCATAAAATATTTATACATTTACATATTTAAAAAGAGAATTAAGAATATCTTTCATCCAGCAGAATTCACTCAGAGCTTATCAGATAGATACATGATTATCTGAGGTATTTTTGTAACTAAAAATAGCATGGTCTACAAAAGGAAGTCAATGGAAGTTATGAACAATTTTAAATTTTTCAGTCATAAAATGTAGCTTTGAAGGATACTACAATCAGTTTTATTTTAAAAATGATTAATAAGCCATATCCAAAATTATATTCTTCAGAAAAATACCTGTGTCATAATATTAGAGACTGATACAAACAAGAAGTTAAATCTGTAGAGATATACCAAGAATAATTGTTTATTTATGCTTTCTAATATGTATATAGTTAATATAAAGAAGTTACATTTTACTTTAATGCACATGATACACATAAATCTTATTTTTTAGAAATACTTTTATTTTTGAAAGTAATGATTGAGTAGAATTCATACCCATCCATATAATAAACCCATTTATATTGCAATAAATAGACATTTCAAAATGTTATATAATCTTAATTATTTTGGTACTTCCTTTCATTCTTTTGATTATATACTTACCTGAGGGAAATGTCAAAGCTATGGTTCTTCCAGTAGTCATATATGGATGTGAGAGTTGGACTATAAAGAAAGCTGAGTGCTGAAGAATTGATGCTTTTGAACTGTGGTGTTGGAGAAGACTCTTGAGAGTCCCTTGGACTGAGAGGAGATCCAACCAGTCCATCCTAAAGGAAATCAGTCCTGAGTATTCATTGGAAGGACTGATGCTGAAGATGAAACTCCAGTACTTTGGCCACCTGATGCGAAGAACTGACTCATTAGAAAAGACCCTGTTGCTGGGAAAGATTGAAGGCAGGAGGAGAAGAGGATGACAGAGGATGAGACAGTTGGATGGCATCACCGACATGATAGACATGAGTTTGGGCAAGCTTCGGGAGTTGGTGATGGACAGGGAGGCCTGGTGTGCGGTGCAGTCCATGGGGTCACAAAGAGTCAGACACAACTGAGTGACTGAACTGAACTGAGGGAAAAGTCTTATTTTCCAGGGACCAAGTAGTAGAAAGCTCAGAAAACAAAACAGAGACACTAGCCGCAGCCTCTTCCTAGATTTTAGACCATAAAGTCACAGAAACATACACATTTCAAGTTAGAAAGAAACTAAAAGGATAATGCAACACAGACTCAATAAGCCTCTCCCATTATTGGATCTACATAGTATTCTTGGATCTACATTTTATCTACAATAACTCTCAACTCTCTCCAAACAGGAGATCTTAGAAACTAGAGGAAGGGTGCTTTCTTAGTCAAGGAGCCACAGTAAACTTACAGAGACTCTAGGTCTTTGCTCCAGGAGTAAGCACCTACTTCATAAAATGGACATTCGGTAGTCACACAGATTTTCAGTAAAAATGAATTTTTAAAAATACAGTCATTTATAGACTACACAAATATTTTAAAGTATTTCTAAATATGGTCTTTGAATGAAATGTGTTGATTATAAAATTTGGAGTCTATGAGCATGCTAAAGTTTCATGAAAACCTTCCTCTATAGATGGACAAGGAAAGAGGTAAGATGGCAGGCAAGGGATTGGCTTAAGTGAGAAGAAAATCTTGATTGGAAACTTAAAAATGATACCAATAAGACACATTTAAACTTTTATTGAATTCAGAAATAATAGCTTTTTAAACATGTTTATAAAATTTAACAGTGAATATAAAAATAATGGAATTAATATTTTCAGTTCCCTTTATTTGGTATCTTAAAAAGTGAGATTGTTTTGTTAAATAGAACTTTTTTCTCCCTTTTTTAAAATACTCTTTTTCATTATGGTCTATCATAAGATGTTGAATATAATTCCCTATGCTAGCAGGACCTTGCTGTTTATCCATTCTATACATAGAAGTTTATAACTGCTAAACCCAATCACTCACCTTATCCTTACCCCAACCAACCTCCTCCCCCTTCACAACCTCCAGTCTGTTCTCTGTGTTCTGTAAACAAAACTTTTTTTTAAAACATACTTCTGTTAGGTTTTTCTTATCATTATAGAATATTCTTACCTGTTCATTTTTCAGAGGACTACTTTATCTGCAAACATGTAGGTCTGGTTGCATGTTAATAAACCACCAGAAAAGATACACATTTTCAAGAGCTATCAGAGGGTCTTCAAGGAGATTCTCCCCATTTTGAATAAAGTTGAGCTAATTGGCTATCTTCTCCGACATATTATGGAATCAGGGGAAACAGCTTGTCAATAGCAGAGCTCTGAGCCCTTTGGAAAACAACCGTCTTCTTAAAGCTATGGATCTCATCTACAAGGAAATCTCCTGGTAAGGGGAAAAAAAAACCCTGAGTCATTTGCAGCAATCTGGATGGATCTAGAGATGGTCATACTGAGTGAAGTAAGTCAGACAGAGAAGGAGAAATCTCATATGCATTCCTTTATATGTGGAATCTGAAAAGAATTGATATAAATTAACTTACAAAACAGAAAAAGACTCACAGACCTAGAGAATGAACATATGGTTGCCGGCGGGGTCGGGAGAGGGGAATGGAGGAAGGGATAGTTAGGGAGTTTGAGGTGGACACACACATACTGCTATATTTAAAATGAATGACCAACAAGGATCTACTGTATAGAACATGGAACTCTGCTCAATGTAATGTGGCATCCTAGATGGGAGAGGAGTCTGGGGGGAACAGATATATGTATACGTATGGCTGAGTCCCTTCACTGTTCACTTGGCACTATCACAACATTGTTAATAGGCTATACTCCAATACAAAATTTAAAAGTTTAAAAAAAAGAATCTACTATGTACCAAATAATTTGCATGCCTGATTTTACTAATTTCTATTGAAAATAATTTAAAGATGAGGACATTTTAGCTTAGAGAGGCTGAGGACCCAGCCCAAACTCTCATATCTAGTAAGTAGTGGAGTTAGGAGGCACATGACCCCAGGATACATGCTCTTTTATTTCATTTCACCACTTTCTATCTCGTGTCTTGCATGTTTCCCCATCATTCAAATCTCAAGTGGAATGAGAGTGGGGTGCAGTGGAAGAGGCGGAAGGAGCCCACACATTTGACAGCCTTCGTGAGATTCAACTGCCCACATTCACTACATGGTAAGTCCAGGGTGAGACTGTGTCTGTATTATTCACCACTCTATACCAAGCACCTCGTTCTACACACGTGGAGTATAGAGGCCAATAGAAGGACTCAATAATGGGCCAAATTTTAGTGAGTGGAATGGAAAGACAGAAACTGGATATTTTTACCCTATTAGCTAGAAAATAAACTGATGTTTCTGCTGCTTTTCACACCCATTCATATTGAATTCATCCACTCATTCAATATATAGTTTGCTGAGTTCCGGGCATTATGGATGGAACATTGAGCAAAGTTCGTGTCCGCATGAAGACATTCTGGTAATCAAGGAATTTCACCACTAGTTTTGAATCCTCAGAGCTGCCTTGTGAAATGGATGAGGTGGGTGTTTATTTGTAACCTGCTGGCTCGCTAAAATATTGCAAAAATATCTAATCCATGAAATTTCATTCAACGAAGTACATCAATGACAAAAATAATGTAACCATCTGAACATGTTTTTTAATTCCAGATTCCCTTCTGTTCTCAACATAATGTGATAATTTAGTATTATTTTATTCATCAATTTTCCTACCAGTTAAACACATACACACACACACCCCCTACCATCCTAACCCAACCCCTTCACACCCCCACAGCAGTGCTCAGTGAAAAATATCACTACCGCGTCTGTTACGAGCTTATCATGTGCTGGACACCTGGGCCTTATTTTATATTATTTCTGATCTTTCCTATAACCTCAAAAAGTAATTATTCCTATCCTAGATTTACAGATGAGAAAACTGTGATTCAAGAGACGATTTCACTCAAGATCACAGGGCTAGTTAGTAGCTTTGTCCGAGTCCAGATATATACCTGTCTTGGTTCTGTCAGTGTTTCTGACTCAGAGTAGAGTTTCCCTAACTCCCTCCTCTTCTTTGTTTAACCCGTTCTCTACAACTCTCCAAAGTTATAGTTTGAAACACAGGTTTGATCATATAGCTACTCTTACAAAGAATGAATGGATTACCTCAATTTTTAAGATAAAATGTGCCAACCNCAGATTTGATCCTTGGGTCAGGAAGATCCCCTGGAGAAGGGAATGGCTACCCACTTAAGTATTCTTGCCTGGAAAATTCCATGGACAGAGGAGCCTGGTGGGCTAGAGTTCATGGGGTCGCAAAGAGTCTGCCAGGAACACACTTGTCACATGGGTTCCTTTACTTGGTATCGCCTTTGTTTAATCGTCTTCCTTCCCTTCCCCGCCCCCCTTCCCCCACGCTCTGGGCTCCTTGAAAGCTGAGTCAAATGGAGCATAGCACTGGGCTTGTCACACAGTAGGCCTCGAAAACTTCTAGGTGAATAATAAACCACTGCCCCCTTCCTCCCTGTCCTTCTTTCATGACCTCAAATCCAACAGAGCCGGAAGAGAAACGCAACTAAAGCATGGCTAGGAGGGCTCCCTGCAAGGAAGCACTCCAGGGCAGCAGAGTGGCTCCAGCTACGTCCCCAGCAGAGATGTAATTTACAGGTTGTCTTGATGTGACTCGATAATGCAATAATTGACGAACTGATCGCATAATGTAAAACCGTCTGGCTCTGAATAGACCGCTCTCAGAGATGAAACAAAAATGAGAGCATGTCTGCATAATCGGTGTGTAAACGCAAGCAGGGTATTAAGCATTCCTTTTTATTCTTAAAGAGCTGAAATGAGATGAGCTCTCCCCGCCCCAAAGCAATCTCTCTCTCTCTCTCTCTCTCTTTTCTCTGCTAATAAGCTCTGAGCAATTTGGAGGCAAGGTGTGATATTGCTCTCACAGATAAATAATAACAAACAAACAAAAAAATCATAATGTTGATGTGATTATACCTCACTGACTAAAGGGAATTAAAGGTAGATTCTCTTTTTTATTAGTTTACTGATCCTGGGCATCCGACTCCCCATAACTGCTCCATATATCAGACTAGTTAATCATTCTTGTCATTATCTTTAATGTCTTATTAGAGGGCTTCATTCATCTGGTTTTTATCTGTTTCATTGGAAGCAGTTTTAATCGCATTTCCACAGCGCTGATAAGCCTGTTAGTTTGCACAAATTGGTTTTGGTGACAATGTGTAGATAGCAAAAACGTGCCACTTCCAAACGGAGCGGAGAAATCTATTCAGGTCCAAAAAGCCAGGTGGCTTGAGCAAAGGAGAGGTGGAGACAGTGGTACTGGCTTCCTACAGGAAAAAATGAAGAAGGTAGAAAACAGGATGAGAAGAAGGGAGAACAGGAAGCTCAGATAAATTGTTACAAGACCCCCGCACCCGCACCCACAGCCGCACCGGCCCAGCCCCGCAAGTCAGGAGAGCCAGCGGTGATGGCCGCATCTGACCACTAGATGGCCGCATCGAGTCAACAGTGTCCCATCGCAGCGGTGGAAGACGGCGCGCGTTTGGTGGTAGCGCTTTGCCCCCCAGACTGGAGCACCCAACTCTGACTCCACTCTGAGGGTGCTCCCAGCACAGCCAGAGGTCTTTCCTGAGAGACCTTGTCAGAGTTTCCTTCCTGCTCTGGGGTGTTTAATTTCAGGCTGTCTTGTGCCATCTATCCAGCTAATGAAGCAGCGTTCATCACTTCCACCTCACTTTAGAATCGCCTGGCTCTGGGTTTCTTAGAATAAAGGAGGCAATAAGCCTATCAGGTCCAGTAGCTCGAAAATGCATTCATCGTAGATGCTAAGTACAGTTTCTGCAGGTTTCCAGGTTGGGAGTCATCTTTTGCGGGGGAGAGGCAGGGGTCGGGGGGAGAGAGGGGAGGGAATCAATAGCCTGTCGATCTGATTGGCAAATTTCGGAGTCTGTCAGGTTTAAGAAGGCAGCCTCTTGAATTTCCTGACTCCTGCTGCTCGGGTCCTGGTACTGAAGCCAGAAAATGAGGCTTGTCTATTACTGTCCTGGCCCCTTTCTTGGGAGAGTTGATCTGGACGCGGGTGTCTGGAAAGATTTAAATCCAAAATCACTCTCCAAATGCACTAAACTCTATCAGATTTATACTTCACACACACATGAAACACCAAAATAATAATAATAGGGAAAGGAAGCATTTCAGACAAAAAAAAAAAGGGGTCTCATAATAGGCTTCCAAATCACTTGTTTCCGAGGCAAACAGATACCAGCCAGATGCAGACAGTCAATTATCTGGTGGTGTCTGGGGTGGGAGGGCGCTAATAATATTCCAAAATCCTCAGCTGCCAAAACACTTTGCAGATCCATTTTCAGACCCTCTGCTTTTCAAGGAACATTCGGTTCATGTTTGTCTGATTCATTCTCACAACTCAAATGTTGATATAAAGTCTGCTTATGAAATTCTGAGACCTCTTGTTTTTAGAAACTCAGGAGGCCACACTTCCCTCAGACCTAGGCGAAGTGTGAACGCCTCTCTATTTTAGAATCTGAAACTCGTTGAAATTACAGTCTCAACTAAGTTCTTGCAACCCCTCTTTATCCCGTGTTCTGATTTGCCTGGTTTAAAAGCATATCCATCTCGTAACTACTCTGTGGAGCAAAGAATTGAGGATGACGTTTATGTGTCGCTTCTGACCTGAGCCTCCAAGGTGGAAATAGAATCCCAAGCCTACAAGATAAAGAGACCGGTTTTCTGCAGCTGGCTTTACCTGCGCTCTCCCTCTCAAATCAGGTGCCTTGGGGCAATCATGGCAACAAATAATGTCTAGAGCCCACAAAACCAGCTAGGTTTCCATTTCTTTCCAATGTGGTGCTGTTCCTTCACACGGAAATGATAGCACAGGGCAACTGGGTACCTGTCTGGGGCCACGTGAGTGCAGCCTCCATCATTATCCAGCCCCAGTGGGGACATAATGGTCATGCACGTGGTCTGATGAGAACGTGGCCTTTTGAAACCCGGTTTGTCCCGGTGGCCATGGCGCCTACTATCGGGGCTGTCTGTTCCGGAAGTTCCCGTCAAGATTTGACTTATATGTGTGTATCTTTATTCTTCCTCTAAAACATGCCATTAACTCTTTGGAACAAAATGCACATGAGGTCCCCCTACCAGCCAGTATGCACCAACTGTAGTTGGATTTGCTGCCCAGCAGCTTCGGAGATGAACTCAAGGCCTTTCAGGGACCTCTCTGCCCCCCACCCCCACCCCAACCAGTTCCCAGCAGGACATCGAGCTCCTAAAGGTCAGGGTATGGATCTGTGATGGATGTTCTGGCTCCTTAAACTACCCCAGAATGCACTGCTCCATGCCGCATAGCATCAGGAGCCTCAGACGCATCGTGCCAGCTGCTCCCACACAGAACAAGGTCTACTTGAGAGGGGCAGAAGGACCCCACACGGGGCCAGAGACTAAGGAACTCATCCCTCCGCTGTTTCACATCCTTACGCCGAGAACCAGAAAACCGCATCTGTGAGGACACACTTTATCTATGTATAAAGTGCCGAGTGCATAGGAGTCAGATCTGTTAATAGCCTGATCCAAGTGAGCAAGGGCTGTCAGAAAACAGAAGCCAGGAAAAGCAGACACGTAGCAAATGGTCCATCTGCCTGGGCCCAGAATCCAAATATTACAGACCCGATGTCGGGAACGCAGTTGTAACTGCCAGTGGGGGTTCCTGCCAAACTTTTTCAAAACTTTCTGTGGTTGCCGCATAGCATCAGGAGCCTCAGACGCATCGTGCCAGCTGCTCCCACACAGAACAAGGTCTACTTGAGAGGGGCAGAAGGACCCCACACGGGGCCAGAGACTAAGGAACTCATCCCTCCGCTGTTTCACATCCTTATGCCGAGAACCAGAAAACCGCATCTGTGAGGACACACTTTATCTATGTATAAAGTGCCGAGTGCATAGGAGTCTGTTAATAGCCTGATCCAAGTGAGCAAGGGCTGTCAGAAAACAGAAGCCAGGAAAAGCAGACACGTAGCAAATGGTCCATCTGCCCGGGCCCAGAATCCAAATATTACAGACCCGATGTCGGGAACGCAGTTGTAACTGCCAGTGGGGGTTCCTGCCAAACTTTTTCAAAACTTTCTGTGGTGCAGCTGACACCTATTTGAAAGTTTCTCCCCCCTTCTACCCACTGAGATAACGTCAGGTTTCTCTGACCTGAGTGCAGAGGGAGAATAAAAATCAAAGTAAGCTGTGTTTCTCGGACTCTGCAGTCTGTCTTAGAACAGCATCTCTGCGTCCCTGTCCCTACGGGATCGCCAGCTTCCCTTGGATTCCCGGTGGTGTCCGCTGACTCTCTCGGCGCCTCTGCTGATACCTACTGCCGAGACCACAGACAACTAGACCGAGGTGCAGATCCTAGGCTGTCTCTTGGATCTGGGGGCACTCAGGGAAGCCGATGCTTCTGTTACGCTCTTGTATTTATTTGTCTGCGCCGGGTGTCAGT